TTTAAGGGTGAAATCAGATTCAGAACCTTTGTACCTTGACATTAACGATATGAAAATTAAGAGAGAATGAAAAGGATGTTGACATAAATGAAATGAGACATAAAATACTCTGCTTTTAAAAGTTCGGCTGTTTAAATATTTGATGAAATTGATTCTGTAATTTATGGCACATAATGAAAATGATTATTATTTTATTGATTAAAGCTATTAAAATTAAGCTCTTTCATTAATTTGATGACAATTTGTTTGAATTGAAAAGCTTCGCACTATCATTTGTGGTAATATTTGTTCAGTGATTAAAAGTGCGATGATAATAATAATGGCATTCATTAACTGTTAATAGTTCAATGGAATCAATTGAATGTTTATTAAACACAAATTGGATTTTTATCATTTTTTAAAACTATTAATTATTTGATGAATGAGCATTTTGTAGAGGGAAATTTTTAAATGGAGCAATTTTTGACTTTGGCTCTCATCACAAGAAGTTAAATTCTTAAGGTCGAATCCTAAAGTTTTTAATTTCGTTCTATAGCTTTGCCGATATTTTGTCAAAGAGCGCGATATGTCCCAATTTCAGCTCTGAAAAAGCGGGACAGACCAATTTTTTTTAAGCATTTGCCAAGAAAAATAGGTTCAAGAAAGCGGGAAATTAAGGTTTTTAGGCGGGACTTTGTGCAAAACAGCGCAACTTGCAACCTCAATAAGGCTCAGTTGGATTTGACTTGTGCGAATCCTAGTCATACCTACAATACTATTTGTAATGAATTGAGTGTTCAGTTTCTGGTAGGAATCAAACCCACTTCACCCAAAAGTAGATTCCAGATATCTAGTCTGTTGCCTAACCTGTCGTCCTTAATCTCGCAATGGCAGAATCACGTTTAAATGACACTACATTGTAGCTTCTATACTGCTAAGAAACCACAAACTTCTAAACTTGGAGACTTTATAAGGTTGTGGAACTGATCAAGGTGGTCATAAATGAACAAAAATGATCAAAATTTAGGTTTGTTTTGGGCTTTTTCCTCTTGCAAGAGAGAAACCTAAGAAATTGTGACGAAGTTGAAGGAAGTGTTTAAAAAATAATTTCTTGCGTAACATAATAAGCGAGAGGCTTCACATTAACACGTGATTTTCTAATATTTCGCAGATTGACACGTGCACACACCCACAAAATATTCTCAAATATTCCCACTAGTCAATTAAAATTCAAATTTTATTCCATAAATTATCAAACCAAAGATTCTTAAGAAAATGCAAAAAAGGAACAGCTTAAAGGAGTTTATAAGTGAATAATTAAGCGAAAAAATTCACTCATCCAAACTTTATTTTCCGCTAGAATTAGTCCCACAATAAATCTTTATTCTTCCTACTTCCTAACCGTTATCATTCATCATTCATTTTTTTTCTTCTTAATAACGGATTAAGCTCTTTTCCTAACTTCCTGCGTGGGACGAAGAATAAATTTTTTAATAAATTCATGAATAAATAAATTGCAATTTGCAACTTAACAAAAAGGCATAAAAATTCTTTGGTTTTTCACCGCAGAAAAACCTGAAGAAAAATGCTTAAACTTGAAATTATGCTTACTTAGCTATTCACCCTCAACGGATTTTTTTATTTCTTTTTATTTATTTATGTTTCGCGAAATGCAAAGATTTTTTTTTTAAAAAAACAAAAAATGTTTTTTGTGCTGCCGAAGTTTTATGATAAAGCTTCTTTTTTTTGCTGTTTAAAAAAAGTGAGCCGGAGAAGAAAAATGACAACCTTGCATTGACTTTCCCTTCTTACAACTTTGTTTTTGCCATCATTGTTTCGTCATAATCCTACTTCATAAAATATGCGCAAAAAAGTGAAATTTAAAAAAAAAAGTTTTTTTTTGTACAAGAATTTATGTGAACGACTTTTTTTTGGCATTTATATTCATTTGCATTTTCAGTTGATATGATAACCCAATGGGTGCCGATGGTTCTTATTCTTCGAAAATGGTCCTTATTCTTCGAAATCGAAAATTCGAATTTGAATTTTTTTCAAAAAATGAAATTCCGTTAAAAATATTTCATCAAAAAATTATATTTGTTTACATCAGTAAAATTTTGATTAATTTTCATTAATTATGGGTAAAACCTGCAAAATTGCAAGCTGCAACTGTGATAATTGTAAATCTAGATTTATGTCTTATAATTCGATATGCTCAGAAGCTAATGTTTTGTCTAAGCTGCATCAGGAGTCTCCCTCGGAAATTTCTGTAGAAGTGAAAGATTTTCTTCTTATGTTAGAATACATATTTCGAGAGCTTAGTTCAATTTCTGCTGTAAGTGATTGTAACACATTCAAGACAAAATTTTCAGATATTGTTCTTAGTCAGGTTGAAATTCCATTTGAGCATTGTTCAAAGACTATTGAAAATTTAATATTATTTTTTGTAGCTTTTCGATCAAAACTTGAGATTCATTGTCCATTGTTACATTCAAAAAACAAATTTGCATCGAAGAATTGATTTTTGTTCATAAATAAATGTAACGGTCTTTAAAATTTCAAAATTTTTTATAAAAAATTATTTTTCGAATTTTTTCGAAACAGGTTTGAGTTTTAGAAAAAATAACGGTCTACATTGTTGTAGGCACCCATTGGATGATAACAAAAAGTTGGTTTGGAAGTTGATTTTATTGGCGCATTTGGAAGTTGAATTTGATGATGTTTTAGGGACAAGTTGCATAATATGGTCGTTAAGGTACCGCTAAGTCGATGTTGTAATGTCAAAACATGGAGGTGTCCTGAAAGCAGAGCTTGAAGTTGAACAACTACAAAGTATGGTCTTCGTTTTGGTTTTGACCGACCCAAAATACCCCCAACTTCCATACAAATACCCCCAAATACCGCCTCTATATATGAAATATCGCGAAATGTCGCCTAGTTTCCAAGCCTGGATTTTAAGCGTCCCTAGTCACAAAACATAATCAATCAGTACCCAGTCAATCATCGAAACATTCCATGACATTCAGACAATCCATGTCCAAAACACACCTCCTTTAAAAAAATAAAATAACAACAAAGAAAATTATTTTACAAATGAAAATAAGAAGAAAATGAGAAAATATATTCATAAACTGATTATTTTATGTTCACAATTTTCAATTACATTTTTCCATTATAATTCATTTGCTTCAACAGTCAGTGATAATAAAGAATGAATTTAAAAAGTAAAATGAGGAGGGAAAACAAAAAAATAATGTAGAAAATGTCATCAACCCTCCCTCATCTAACTGTGAAGCATAAAGAACAAGAAGTGTTGAAAATTAATTGATTTAGTCTTTCTGTTCTGCGAAAAGCATCGGCAAAATGAATTTTTTTTTTATTATTTTCAATTCATTCTTTAAATAATTATATTGTATGTTCTCATGCTCTGTGCTCGTCAGCATCTCTCCTTCATCCTCATTTTCTTGTCTCGCCGTTTTTGAATGTGCACGTAATTAGAATTCTTAGTGTGGAAAATGAATGCGGATGAGAGTTGTGGAAGAAAAACTAAAGGGAATGAAAGATCGCTTCAGTTTCAGCATTGCTTCATCAGTTTTCTTTCATTCACTTTGTGTATGGCTTGTATAAGACATTGCTAACATTCATTTTGTGTTTGAAAATAAAAAATTTTAATTAGATTTTTTTCTCGTCTTTTTTGTGTTTGTGAGGTATTGAGGATGAATTTATTTCCCGTCATTTTAGAACTAATGATGTCATGAGGGTGTGGACACTATGGAGTGACTTAGATTTGTGATTTTTGGGAATTTATTGATCTGGTTGAGGGTTATTGAACTTGAGGTCATAAAAGGGGCAACAGGGAGATCAAAGGTATTCAGACCTTGTCCTAGAGATTGAAATTGGTATGGGAAAATTCATGGTCCGATTTCTATGCTGTGGTACACTGGAATGGTACACCTGGGATGGTACAGTGTACACCTATGCCTTCCTATACCGTACCGGACCAGTAGCAAATAAATCGAGCCCAGAAATCTCCTGGGAAAATTAATAATGAATGAGAAATGAATTTGAACCCTCTTTGAGTTCGATTAATCGAAATTAGTTATAATTGTTTGGTTTTTATATGAACTGTTGAAGCTATTGGATTAACATGGAATGGTTTTTAAATTAGTTTGATGATAATTTAGCATTTTCATACTCTCTACTTAAAATGTTCATATACCAACTCTTCTCCGAGTCTAAGCAGACGAGTTGAGTGTTGAAAAGTGTGTAGATTGACTTACTGATCATTAAACACCCCGTTTCCTCACATGAGCAGACCCCAAATCTCTTAAAATGTCTATTTATGATCCAACATCAAGCCTTCTTCTGGATAGTCTTAAAAATGTAGTAAATCACCTGTGAAGCTATCATTGTACACTGGTATGCAATGCCACACAGTTTAAGAACCAATGATCCATAAAACCATAATATTGACATCAACATCCATCAAAAACAGAATCCCAGCTGCACCCCCTAGCTCTCTCTAAAAATATAATAATCCTCAGAAAAACCAATCAATGTGTACAATAATATTTTCCTCCTTATATTTGAATGAAAAATTCATTAAAAACGCAAATGAGCAAGCTACAAAATCTCATTAATTAATGTCCATTGCTTTAGCGTGGAACTAAAGCGTTAATTAAATTTGACACAATTATAAAAGTTCAGATGATAGTAGAACTTGTGGGGGTTCAGAGAGGTAGATGTGAATCTAATGAAATCACAAAAATGAGCGAGAAAGATGAAAGCTGATTGACTTATGAATAGAAAATTAAATGAAAATAAGATGGAAATCTCCTTAATGAACATTTTTTTTCTTCTTGAGCTTTTAATTTTTTGTTCCTTTTTATGTTATTAAATTATCACTTTGTTTGAGCTTCAAGGCATACTTGCACAAATAAGATTATATTATACTTAATACCGTCCTTAATTGAACATAAATAAACATATTTTTTTTCCTCTCTGATTTTTATCATTCACAGAAAGACCACATACTGCTAGATCCAACAGGAAGCGATATAAGTAATTGTATATCAAAAGCAAAAAGTCAGGTAAATTAACCTCAATATTTATGAAGCTAAAGCATGAATGAAGAAGGAAGAATTATTTACGAGGAAATGTAGGGTAAAATTTTTATTTGCGAAAAGATGCAAGGTGAAGGAAGTAAGCCTACATGTGAGTTTCAGGTACAAGTTTCTGTCGAAACTTCGATTCAGAAGTTAAACTTTAGGTTGAGTATTTTTTCTGAAAAACGTGAACTTTCAAACGTTTTGTCAAGAGTGGGAATCAAACTTGCTTACTTTAGTAGAAATAACTTCATGATCTGATCTGCATTACGATTTGACGTGTTCAAATTGCAGTTTGCCACTTACTTACTTACTTTGCTGGCCGTTCAGATCAATTGTGATTCATGGCTTTCTTTAGATGGTGCCTAATGCTGGCTCTATCGCTGGCTATCGTTTACCTATTACCCATATTTTCAAGAGTTCTTGGGACGACCGCGTGATCTTTTGAAGTTTGCCACATTTGTCTTAATTTGACAGTCCAAAGCTTAAGAGTCCTCATTAAAAGCGTAGCTAGACATATTCTGGAAGTCACACGGCGAAAAGAACAAGGTACCACGCGGGATTTTACCAAATTTTACCAAATCTGGTGAGGTGCCGCGTTCTTGCTATCCTGGATGTTAGATTAAAAGCAATTTTTACGCCGTGTGTCTTTTGGGTTTAAACTTGTGACCTGATTTGTGAAAGTGTTTTTTCTACTAAATACAACCTCTAAAAGTGACAAAGAGTCTAAGCTGGTCGCAAAGGAAAATGAAATTAGTCTATGGCACAGTATTTAAGTATCAAAGTATTAGATTATCAAGTTACTGAGCTTTTTCGACTCAAGAATACATCAAATCTATCAAAACAGACTTAAAGTTACCTCAAATTGCAAAGTAAAAATTTTCTTCCCCTTCAAAAAATTTCCTTCATTATTATTTTATTTTTTATTAAGGTCACAGAAGTCTATTTGCTCTGTACATCCACAAAATAAAAACACTATCAATTTACAAAATTCAATATTTCAGACATTTGACTGTAGAAATCATATACGAGTGATCCAATCTATGGACAATGGAAATCGCTTATACATTTGTGGAACAAATGCTCATAATCCCAAAGATTATGTAATTTATGTAAGTCCTATCTATCTCTTATCCTTTATATTATGCCATATTTTTCTTTGTTTTATTTCAATTTAGGAATGAGTTCTTCTTCTTCATCCTTTTACTGCATTCAATTTTGAAAGTTTCTCGTATCCATTTGGTAGTCTTACATCCAATTTTCTTGTCCCCAAAGTTCCTCAACTGAAACTTTTTATTTATTTGTACTAATAAAATCCTTCGACCCTCTTTCTTACCATATTTTTCGTTCTAGCTGCTTTCAGTACTCTTTGGCATCGCAATTAATCAAAAAAAGAGAAAATTATGAAACGGGTAAAATTGGCTGCAGTTCCCTCATTGCTGCTGTAATTAAAGGCGATTAAAGTAAAAAATGAAAAACTTCGCTTCCGTTTTAGCCTCTCTTCTTATTATCCTTGTCTTGCATTTTTATTTCCACACTAATTATCAAAGTTTGTACAAAATTAAAAATATTTTTATTTCTCCCTCATTGCTGTTCGCTCGTACGACCACAGTAAGGAGTGAAAATGTCTACAAATCTGTTGGACATTTGTTGACTTTAGTCATTTCCCGGTTGCAATTTTATTTTTGCCTCTGCCTTAATTTTTTAACAATGTGGTGATGAATTATTGTTATTTTTATGCGCTGTGAAAATGTTTTTTTCTTTACTAGCACAAAAAAAAGAAAGTCAGTAAAAAGGGGGTGAAAAAAAGGAAGTAAAGAAGAAGGAGGACACAAATAAATTTATGTAAAACAATAAAAAGGTGCTCAATGGCTTATGTGGAATTTATAATCAAATTTTCTTTTTCTATTTTTATTTCACAGTCAAATCTTACACATTTACCGAGATCGGAGTTTGTTCCTGGCATCGGTGCAGGAATTGGAAAATGTCCATATGATCCGGAAGATAATTCGACAGCAATTTATGTTGAGAATGGAAATCCTGGCAGTTTTCCTGCAATGGTAAGATATTTGAAGTGTATCGAAAGTGCTTAACATAAGGAGATTGTGGAAGTACGTCTAAACATATATGCGCAATTGTTGGGAGATTGCTTGATATTTTTTGGTTGAGGTTCTCAAGATTCTTTTGGAAGTTTGTAGTTTACTGGGTGGATTAGTGACTAACGATTAGGAATCTCGGGATTGAAATGGATGTAATTCCGGGATCAAACCTGTGATTCAGTACAATTTAATCCCGGGATTGAAAACCTTACTAATGATGGCCTCGAATGAAGTAGATTTAAACTGAAAATTCATGCTAAGGTGGTTGTTCTTAAAAAATGCTATACACATAATAAGACTTGTTCCGACGAGGATTTAAATGTCAGACAAAATTAAGACGCGGTGTTGGCTTGTTGTGCCATAATTAGGACTACTCTGGTCCTTTCTTCGATTTATTGCAATTGTGTCATTCAAAAATGAACTGAACATAGTTAGAACTAATATTAGGTCCATGCTGGAACATCACTAATCCCATCGTAAAGCTAAATACAAGCGAGATGAGAATCCTGCTAATTAAGAAGAATGATCCCGAATGGCACAAGTCGTTTAATCGATCAGAAATCCAGCACAAAGCTGATGTGACTCTAGTATAGTGCTGGATTTAAATCGCATCCAGCATCATGCTGGAGTCATGCTCACTGGGGGCCAGATTTCTATTCGATTAACCGACTTGTGCTTTTTGGGTATACCCTTTTGAGTGATATTATTATTTTTATTATTATTATTATTATTATTATTTTTTATTGCTCTCGTTTTATATATTGGCTTGATTTCAATCGAATCTAATCCTTATTTTAGTCAACGACACACTTTTTACAGCTAAGGCGAGAACTAGACTCTCTATAATCTCTTTATAACCCCCCTTTCCTGAATGACCCCCCTATCCTGACCTTATTTGAACAAAACTATTCAACAAAACTCCCCAAAAAGATTCACTGCCATCTTCACATTAATAATCGATATCTCCTACAAAATTATATCAAAGTTCAACTGTCCCAATGAATCTAAAATGCAATAGATATCTCTACAGAATGTGTCTTTTCATTTCCTCTCAAATTATGATCATAAGCATACTTTATCTCGTTTTATGAAAAATATTCTTCCTATTCTTCCTCAAAAGCATGAGTCTCTTATCGACTGGACAACAATTTTGAAGCCAATTTTCCGCAGAGATTATAAAAAAATAAGAAGAAGTGGCAACAAAAAGTTTCTCATGCAGCCAATTGAAAAATAAAGAAATAAGTTGCATATTCTATTCTCCATAATATACACAGAATAAGAAAACTGTCAGTAGTGTTGTGCACAACAGCATAGGAAAATTCCTTAAACTTTCTTTTGAAATATTTTCAGGTTGAATAAACATTTTCATGCTGAGTGTGTATATATATATGCATGAACGTTCTGCTTCATAGATATATAAAAGACATTCCAATAAATAATAAAATTATGGTATAGAACGACAATTGTGATAAGTGCCAATGCTAGTTGCTAGCTTTTTTTGTGCTTGCTTGCTGCTTCAAATTGAAAGTTGGTGAAAATTGAATTTTTTTTTTATCTCCATGGTGCTTGAGAAAGGAAGTCTATTCTATGGAGAAAAATAATATCAACATAATAAGATGAAATTTCATTTTTTTCTCATATTTTCTTATTATTAATATCAAAAGCTGAAGTTTTTTGTGAACAACAAAACAGCTGCTGTGATGAAGGGAGGATGGGGTGCGGGGTCATTCTGATGTTACGTTTTGAATTGAGTTTCTTTGAAATAATTAATTTTTGACTACTTAAATGATATCCAGCTGAGCTTTGGTCGCTAGAATCAATAGCTATACAAACTAGGGTCAACAATTACTAAGATGACATGGCTCTTATAAAAAATCACCAAAAAATTACTTTAAATTTGACACAAAATACAATCAACGAATTCATTAAATTTCTGACATAACCTCAAAACACCAGACCCCCTTTCACTTTCGCTCCATAACATCCAGACAACCCCAATTGAGGTTTGAGTAGCAAAAATAAAAATTCAATCAATATCAGAATGCTTTTGAAATCTATTTGTTTTATGCTTTTCATCTCGCACACCAAACAGCACAAAAAAGTACTTCGTCACTGCTTTCTTTTCTGTTTCATTTAAAAGGAAATCAGCAAGCAAGCTTTGTGGATCAAGGAGAAATAGATTGTCGGGGAGGAGTAAAGCACTTTTAGGAGAATTTTATGCAAATTGTTTTATAATTTTTGAGATTTTTTTTTTCTGGGAAGACAATGAGTTTGAATTTTTATTTTCATTTGAGACTAGACAGTTTTATTGTCTTGGGATGTTGGGAAAGATTCCTTCTCGGAACTGTTAATTTAAGAAATATCTAGAATACTTTTTAAGATACACGTGATTCCAGGATCGAAGAAATTGATTGTTAACATTTGAATACTTAAATATTAAGGCGGATATACTCGATTGTCTAGTCTCAGCAGAATGAAATCTTAAGTATCGAACCATATTTAAGTGAATATGTCAATTCGAGAGTAAGGCCTTTCTGTTCGAGTGGTTAGGCAATAGAACATAATCTTCATTTAAGAACGTGAGTTCGATTTTCAAGACAACCGATTAGACTGTTTCTTAGATATGACAACGATCTGCACAATGCTCACGGCATTAACTCGATGTTTATGGACTCTAATCACACAAAGGATATATCGCATGGAATCCGCATGAATTTGAACTTCATATGGATTCTTAATTGCTGCTAAATTGAGGCTTGTGTTGCCTGAAGTGACACTCATTGAGTTTAGTTCTAATTTGCAGTCTATTTCAAGGATGCTAGCAACCACGAAGCATCCCGAACATAAATACAACTTTAATCTAAATCCAGTCAATATAAAGCACTTCATGACTTATATACAGGTTTTAAGGCAATTTAACTCAAAAAAAGTATCAAAATCTCAAAATCCCTCAAAACTTTACTCAATCTAGTGAACAAAAGTCAAATTCTCAAAAGAATCTGAAAAATTTCACCTCAACGGATCATTGAACAAGACGATGAGAAGCAAAACAAATTTCATGGTATTTTCTTGGCTTTACTTCTTAAGAAGTGAGCGAGAAAAAAAAGAGAAAATTGTTTTGTTTATGAGTTTGCGATACATAAAAAGTGCTTTATATATATTTTTTTGACTTTCATTGTGTAATACACGTCTACATTGTAGACGTGAATCTATTGAAAAGTAATGTCTTCTCCTTATTTCCTATAAAAGCAAAAAAAAAAGTTATAAAATTTACTTGATATTGAATTTTTTTTTCCTTTTCTCTTCCATGATCCCTTCCACAGTATTCAGGTACAAATGCTGAATTCACAAAAGCTGATGCCGTCATTTTTCGCTCAGACATTTACAACATGACGTCGGGAAAGAAGGAATACAACTTTAAGCGAACTTTAAAATATGATTCGAAATGGCTTGATAGTAAGTATTAAGTATTATTATGTTCTTTATGTTCATGCGATTTTCAATTTTTATCCTCGACAGAAATAAAAATATTTTTGTTCTCATGCTGAATGTGGAAAATGAGAGCTTTTTACTATCTTTGGTGTGTCGGTTGCTGTCTGAATCAGGAGTTGAATGAGAATTTTTATGGAATATTTTTGTGTGGAACGATGTGTTGTTGTGTAGGGCTCAGTTGTTTGGGGAATCATGTTGTGCACCAATTTGAAGATTATTGTAGGATCATTGGTGCATTACTATCTTGAAATTATTTTAATATGTTTGAGAATTTTTAGGTTTTGAACCTTAAAAAACCAACACTGAATACCTATGAGCTTTTACTCAAGTTCTGTGCATCTAAATCCAACATCCACCAACCAAAAGTTCAATAAATCAATTTCTCAAAAATAGAAATAAATCCCCAGCTTTTTAAGCTCCTTCTATAAAAAGAACCGAAGATGAATTTGAAATTATGTTGATAAAAATGAGAAATAGGAAGGCACATACACATCATGAGTGATAAATCTGTGATCTGTGAAAATTCAATTTTCATTGACTGGCATTGACTTGGCAATCAATAATAATATTCGCGCATACACGAAAGTCATCAGGCAAGAAGCTTCGAATTTCATTCTCAATTTTTTTTTGCATCTGAATGAAATTCAATTTTAAAAGTTTTCCGTATCTTTTCCAACCATTTTGTGGATGTGAAATCAAATCATCGAGATATGAGTGCAACATATACATAATCTCAATTTTTTTAAGCTTTTTTTTTCCATCATGCAGCCGTGCATTTATATCCTTTTTCATTTTACGCCGTCACATTCATGCACTGTGTAAGCCTTTTGGTGTTCAAAAAAGCGGAAACGAATCGACAAAAAGTGTGGAAATTAATTTTCCTCTTGTGCATTCACCAAACGAATATTACAACACATTACAGTAAATTCTATGGATTCATGAATACACAAAAGGCAACATGAAGAGATGAGAATGAAAAAAATTGTGAAAAATTACATACCGTCAAAGTTGGTGTTAATCATTTTTTTTCCTCGCTAGCTTTCTCTTTTTCTGCTTTATGCTGCACTCTCAAAGGACGCATTTACACTTTTTTTTTTTGCAGGAAGAGGCACTTTATGTCTTTGAGTCTGCTTTCCACTCATTTTGAAACTTGAAACCGTGATAGGATTTTTTTTTTGGATATGCTTGTGTATGTGATTGTCGTGCATGTAAAGTTTTTAATTTTTCGAATGGATGTGATATATTTTTTTTAATAAGAGGAAAATTGACTTGAATTATGTACTGAATATGGATCTCCCTAACCTTGCCCGCTTCCTAAAAAGACAAATCATGGGAAAGGCCCAGTCTTTTTTTGAGCTGCAGGCAAGACTCAATTAGATCATTAATCTATTGTACCACACTCTTTAGGCCAGAGTTTCTCAAACTTTTTTGATCCATGGCACACAGTTTGAGAACCACTGCTTTAGACCTACTATTTACAGTTGACTCCCCTCCCTCTCTTTCTTTGTTATTAGTTCTGCAAGAAAATTATTGTCATAAGAGGGAACCAACGTTATGGGAATAAGTTTTGAAAAAAAACTTCCAACCAAACATACATACATGCATCGCTAGCTTTACCGATCAATTGTGATCCGTAGCCTCTCTTAGTTGGCGTCTGAAAAATACTTTGTCGCTGTCTACTCTTTACCGATCCTTAATAACTCTTGCTAGTTTAGTCTATAAACCACTATACCAACTTATTTCCTAATCAACAATAATCTAATAAATAATTTCTCTTTAATCCACAGAACCAAACTTTGTCGGATCATTTGACATCGGCGAATACGTCTATTTCTTCTTCCGTGAAACATCTGTCGAGTACATAAATTGCGGTAAGGCGGTATATTCACGTGTTGCACGAGTCTGCAAGAATGACATTGGCGGAAAGAACATTTTAAGCCAAAACTTTGCGACCTACTTAAAGGCTCGCCTCAACTGCAGCATATCTGGCGAATTTCCATTTTATTTCAACGAGATTCAATCAGTTTATCAAATCCCGTCAGATAAGACAAAATTCTATGCCACATTCACAACAAGTACGAATGGCTTGGTCGGATCAGCCGTTTGCAGTTTTGACATTACGGAAATTCATTCCGCATTCAATGGTAAGCTTTCAATTAACATTTGATAATGAATAGATGATGTGCTACATTCGAGTATGTTGCATGCTATTTTCATCAAGCCTGTCTAGGCCTCTCTTCCATTCGGGAACATTTTACTTTGTAATTTTTTTAATAAGAACAGCTCCGAGCTTCCCTCGAATTCCATTTTAATTTCATCAACTTCATTTGCATGCATGCCTGTAATGCTTTTTTTTGTGTGTGCATTTCTTCCTCTCTCTTTATTAATGCAAGCTTTTTACGGCTGCTATTAGTCTTGTTAATTTAATGCTGTCACTTCCACAATATTCTACGCCATTCAGTTTATTTATTTTGTTGTCAGCTTCGTCTTCATTCCTCACTTAATTATTAAATGAACAGAATGGAAATGAATGTTACATTTCATATTAATTCACAACAAGTAGCACCACTGATGCAGTTTGTAATGATATTCAGTCATGAATAATTTTATTATTATGCAGTATCGCTTCTTCTATTTTTGAGGAAGTTTCTATTTTTGATGAGAAAGATAGGAAGTGACATAATGGAAGAGTGTTAAAAGAGAATAGGAGTTGAATTTGAGTGTTGAGATTATTATGAGTGGAATGTCAATGGATTATGAAGGACTGAAAATATAATGAGACAGTCATAAATTTATTAGCACTTTAGCATAGGCCTTGCAGCTACATACTTGCTTCTCTGTCGATTTAAGACAATGTTACTAGCAGTGAAGTAGGTTAAAGGTCCTTAGATTAGTTCTTGCGGATTTTTGTGTGTTATTTGAAGCTTTTTTTTGACGTGTTGCCTCATTGCTTAGCTGACCAACTCACACTATTGAGCAGGGCATCCCAGATTATTTGAAAAATGTCCTGCCTAGAATCCTTAATGTCCCGCTTTTTTAAAATTTATTTTCTTACAAAATACTGTGAATTTTCGTCTTTCCCGCTTTTTAAAGGGACATGTCCTGATTTTTCAATAAAAGCCGATTGTCTTCCTACCTACTACCTTATAAATAGGAAGTGAAGAAAAATCTCAAGCTAAATGTGAAATTTGAATGATTAGGATCTCAAATGTGCGTAAAACTTGTCACGAGAATTAAAGACAATCCTTTGTTTAAGGTGTCTAATTCTTCTTTCTGCGCCTTTTGTTTTAAATATTTTTTTTTCCTATCAAAAAAGTAAAAATTTTCTTTATTACCACCTTTATGCAGCAGACTGTGATTTGCTTCAATTTCACACAAAAAAGTCCCATTTCATATCAACAAAATAACAAAAGGAAGTGAAATTCTTTTCATACCTTACTTTTCTTCAATTTGCTTTTCATCATTCATTCATTGTAAAAGAGCATAAAAATAAAGTTTCACAGCATTATGAAGCAATTCAATGAATTATAGTAGTAATAATTTCATAATTACACTGCTGGAACAATGAAAAGTTTCTGTTGCTTTATTTCCACCCACCTCCAACCTCACCACTCACTCGTCTTATTCAATAATTTTATCGACAAGTTGAAGAATGAAAGAAAAAAGGCAAGCCAGGAAGTCTTGCGAAAGTATTGACAGTTTTTTCAATTAAACTTGAAAAGGGAGAGGAAAAGCGAATGAAAAGTTTACTTCTGCATGTCATAAAAATTGAGAGACGAGAGGAAATGAAGGCAAAATGTTTTATATATATTTTTTATTTTATTTCTCAGGAAAATTTAAGGAACAAGCAAACTCGAACGCTGCATGGCTGCCTGTATTAAATTCAAGAGTTCCAGAGCCTCGTCCTGGCACATGTGTTGCTGACACATCCAGCTTACCCGATAATGTTCTCAACTTTATACGCTCACATCCGTTGATGGACAAGGCTGTAAATCATGAGCACAATAATCCAGTGTTTTATAAACGCGACCTTGTGTTTACAAAGTTGGTTGTTGACAAGTAAGTGCTTTAATTTTTTTTACAAGTCAATCATGGAGTTCTATTTTCAACTGCTGTTGTAGCTGTGTTTGTGTGTGACAGGCTTGGAAGTTGTGTTGGATGTTAAGGGGGATTTTTTGAAGCATTTAGAAAGCTTTTGTGTAGTGTTGGAGATGCTGTTGACACTGTTGAAATTGAAACATTAAAAAATTATCAGGGGGCATTTATAGATGGTTAGGCGGGTCTACCTAAGCCAAAGCTACCACCTAATCAATTTTGTCAATTTTAAAGCATGTTAAGCTATCAATATCAAATCTGCTAAAATCACCACTAAAGCTTCCAAGCCTAATGCATACATGAAAACTCTCTCACGCTGCTGTACAATAAAAAAAAGTGAACATTGTTGTCTTCATTCTCGATTCGTGAATAATTTAAATAAAATTACAGAATAATGAGAGGAAATAAGAGGACGACAACATGAAAGGTGAATTTGTCAGGTGACAATATTATCCTTTTTTCCCATATAAATACTGAAATTTGAATTCGAAATGAATAAAACTTTTTATTTGTCTCCGATTCCAAATGGGTAGTAATTGAGAAAAAAATAAAGTTTTTCTATAATTCATTCGCACTAAAAAATATATCAACAGCAAAATAACATTAAAAATCCATTTGCGTATACAGACAAAAGTACGGAGTCCTGAGTACATACAAACGTTGCAATAATTTATTCATTCACTTTAAAACATAAAATCTGTAACAAGTCAAAATGCTATAAAAAATGTACGATTATTTCGCTCAATTTGCTTAACAATCGATTTTTTTTGTGTGTTGCGAAAATGAAGAAGTAACGAAAAAAAGAAATCTTTTACGACGGGGCTTGTGTAAATTCTAAAACGACATAAAAAAAATTATTTTTTTTTCTCGCGAAGTGAAAAAAAAAAATCAATTTATTGCTCAAGAATGTCTACATAGACTTACTTACATATTAACGCTAATATTGCGACATACAGCAGACCTAGTTCTTGGAAAAAGAAGGTGAAATTTGTGTGGACATTATAAATGGATAATGTTTCACGATGTTTCAGTTTAATGCCTTCATGTTCTTCCTATTACATGTTATTTGATGTGTGATGATTTTGATGAGGTGTTGAAGGGGTTGGCTTTTTGTTTTGGCTGACTTAATGTTACTGGACATTGAGGGTTTTCATTGATTTTGGCTATTGAACTTTCTTTGAGCTTGATTTGGTTATTCTTAAGGTGTTTTTGACAGCTGATCTTATTTTCTAATTAGGTGTACCCATGGGGCATAGCCAGAAAATTTTTTAGGGGGGGCCCATTTTCGAAAAATTTAAAAACCGTTATTTTGTATCCTTAAATCTATATTCATTCTTCATAAGTTTAAATATTAAATTCATTATTCATACATTAAATTTAATTTTTTGTTCTGATTTTGACATTTCTTTCATAACTTCCTCTACATTAACTGGTTCTTCTCTATAAATACTTAACAAAACAAAAAATGAACAGAATCGTGTATTAAGAGAAAACGGCTGGATCAGATGTCTTAGCTTGTCATTTTAATAATTTGGCAAAAAGCAACTCAACCTCAACTTAGTCATGCAATTTAACCCCCCCACCCCATCATATGCGCTCTTCCCACCAACCCCATTCAAAAAAAAACTTCTTCCCTTTTTTTCAAATACCTCTCCTTTTGTCTCTTCATGCTGCATAAAGTAGAAAGTAAATATAATTCTATATTGACTTTAATGCCTTTGGCAGTGAGTGAATAAGGTAAAACTTCATAACCTTCGTGCTGCTATTATTTGGCTTCCTTCTGAGAATTTTACTTATTTTTTTTTTCTTCTCTTCTTTTTGCATTCATTCAAGTTACACAATTTGAATTACATAGCTAGTTAGCTACTAATACGGGGGCTATACGTTCATTTCGATACATAAAAATAAATTAATATTCTATGTAAATTAATTTGAGCTATTAATAAAATAAATAAATTAGGGGAGCTTATGAATCATTAGGAAAGTAAGTAAGTCATAAGTCATTTTCATACTGTGAATTGTGGAACATAAAAGGAAGTTTTGTTCCTATTCATGCCGAATAGTATAAATGAAATGAAAGCTTGCATTTCTGCTTCTGTATGATTAAATTCAGAGCTGACATGAAGCTTTAGAATTTAAAATTATTTTAATTTTTATTTTTCTTGCCGACTATGAATGAGCGAGTGGCGTCGATGTGTCTAAATTATGCCTTTTAGCTGCTACTGTTGCAATACACACACTCATTCACGTGAATATATGAAATAATATGTTACTATTATTCTGTTGAAAAGAAATACACAAAAGAGCTACAATATACGTTCATTTGTGAAAATTGTGAATTTAGCATTTGACTTTTTCAGATTCTGCTCTATTTTACCTTTTGTTTTGCGGTGCTATTATTGATTGAAAGGTTGAGTATTGTGGTTATCAGTTTGTCTTGTTGGATAAGCTGTCGGAAATCATGGATGTGATGGGGGCCATTCACTTATTACGTAACCCTTTTAGGGGGGGAAGGGGGGTCTAAGATTTTGTTACGGTTCAAACAAGGAAATTTTTTTTTCATACAAATTTTGTTACGAGGGGGGGGTCTAAAAAGTCATTTTTTCGCGTTACGTAATAAGTGAACAGCCCCATGATGAAACTGGGAATATTTGCTTTAAGAACTGCTAGCAGTTCTCAATGTTTAGCTTCCAGTGTTTTGATAGAATTTCGGGTTAGAATTAGACTTTTGGGCTAAGATTATACTCATATTTTTAACTTCGGCTAAGTTTCTAGCCTACCTTAGTCTGAGATTCAAGTGCGTGGCCACGAAGAGAAGGGATGACAGAACAGAAATTTATTCATTTTGGTATTGTTTTTATTATAAAAAATCATAAGAGTACCCCGCCTCCCACTAAGTTTTCCATATTAATTATTTTCCTCCCTCTTCAAATTGTTGGCTACGCCTCTGCTCAGATTAGAGTCTTCAGTGACTCTGAGCTTGTTTTATAGGATAGCCTAGATACTAAACGCCAGACAAAGTCGAATTTTATTCATACTCCATTGTAGCATCGAGTTTTAATACAAGAGGAGTATTTCCCATGTAGATCTAGAATCCGAACCCAGTTCTGTAGCTTAGTGGCATCACTAGGACTTTCAAAACAATTCTCTTGACTGGGTTGATCGTGAAAAACAATAACTCACTCTGCATATAGGATTCGAACCTTTGATTAATTTGTCATTTTAACTTCCATCTGTCAAAAGACTTTAACATCAAGCTACAGATTTTTATGTTATGTTTATACAACTTATTCGCCAAGATATCGTCAAGTACAAGGAAGACTTACAAGAGCAACGACAATAGTACAAGAAAAATTGTAAACTGCGTCCTTAGTGCCACAAAAAAATCGAATCCCAAACAATTCACACTTTTAACTTTCCGCTTTGCATGCACAATTTTTTCGTGGCTATATTTATTTGATGATGGAAGAGTGGGCAAAAAAAAAAATTATTATTTTCTGCTGAAAACCACAATAGCAACATCTAAATTTATTTTTCTACTTTTTTGCTTCCTTGTTCACTCCTCTATTATAGTCAAACACACAATGCATGATACGTATACATCTCATAGTGCTCTCTGTATTATTTTTTTTTAATAATTGAGTTTTCACAATTGTTATTTATAACCATTCCATATTACCTGCATCTCATACTCTTTTCAAAATAATAAAAAAAATGTATATACTGGCTGGATGTATGAACACATTTGCACATTCAATTCATTCACATCATAGAACAAAATATTTATCTACATTGAATTGTACTTCATTCAAAGAGCGGGAAAAAAAATATTATTCATATTGCTTCTAGTGCTACTGTTGGTTTTTTAATCGGAGCTGAAATAAAAAAAATGTGGAACAGAAAATGCTTAGTGGGGTAAGCGAGAGGAATGAATGAAACATAAAATTGTGGAAAATAGTTGCAAAATTTTGTGGAAGTAAAAGTTAAATATTTGATACCTTAATGGATGGATGGCTTTGTTTTTTTGGGTTGATTAAAACAATGGGATGTTGTGGATGATGATTCTTGAAAATCTGGTAGAACAATTGAGTAGTTTGAGGTTGTTATTGTCAAGTATCATGTATTGTAGAGTATGGTCAGTAATTGGGAAACATGTTTGGTTTGTGTGGCTCATTTTTGAATGGAAACTAAAACAATAGGCTTGAAAAATCAAAGATGCTTACCAAAATCTAATAATTGAGCTTAAAATATTGAACATACAATTGTGCATAAACTAGATTTGATCAACAATTTGCAAAAAACTAAACTTTTTCATACAAAATTCCCCAAAATCAACACCCCTTGACATCCCCAAAAGGGAATAAACTTTTTTTTTGTGGTGAACAATCTTTGCTTAACATCACATTGATTTTTAATCACAAAATTGAGTAAAGTCTGCGGATCTAAATTGAAATATTATGTTTCACTTGACGCTCTTTCATTCTCATCCGCTTTTCATTTTGTTTTGTGAAAAATTTTTCCTCTTTTTTATTTCGCTTTTGAAATATTTTAAAAAAAAATCCTCTCGTCTAAATTTATTCAAATAGAAAATTAAAAGCTTAAACTTTTTTTTGGTGTGTGCTATGTTCTTCTCATATTTTTTTGAGGGGGTTGGCTTTTTCTGAAAAGTTGATGATGTTTGAAAAAATTAAGATTTCAATTTTTTAAGGAAAATATATTTAAATTTGATTTTCAAAAAGTTTTTTAATTCAAGAAACATTTTTAAAATTTTATTTCAACTTTTCAATTTTTTTAAAACTTGTTTAAAATTAATTCAAAATTTACAAATCAAAATTTTTTCAAATTTTTAACTTTTTCAACAAATTTTCCTTTTCTTTAAATTTTTTGACTTTTTCCAATTTTTTTTAAATTGTTTTAATTTTTTTTCAAATTTTTTGTTTTAAAATTACGAAATTTTTTCTTTT